GGAGGCTATCTCATCCACATGCTGCTTGAGTCCGAGAACCTCAATATCCCTGGCTCTGAGACCCTCTCTCATCAGGATATCTTTCTTCTCAAGATGCGAAAATCAACCCAAAGGTCTTAAATGATAAAGTTGGAGAAGCACTAAAATAAAAACATACGAAGACTGTATTACCTGCTCGGCAAGATCGGTCCGCTCTCGAGACATCGTCTCCAAATGAGCCTTAAGGTCACGAAGTTCTTCCTTCTTTTTGGTAAAAAGAGCTCTGAGCTTGTCAGCCTCTGATGAGAGCCTCATACACTCTTCCTCATAGTGGGTCAACTTATCTTGGGACTTAGCAAAGGCCTGATTGTAAAGAACTGTAGCCTGAAAGCCTAAAAGAACAAAATCAGGAAGATGAGGATCGGAGCTCATAACATAGTCGACGAATGATTTACTGTTTGCAGAGCCTCTTGGCTTCCTATAAAATGTGCGAGGCGTTAAGATTGGGGTTTTCTTCGACCCTTGTGAAGAATCCTTCAAACACGCCATTCTCCCCGAGGGACGCACCTGCATCGGAAATCTCTCTATTATGGGTATACCGTATCTCTCTCGGAGAGAATGCCGAACCCAACGGGGAATCACCCACATCAATAACTATGGCTGGATCGATCGAGGCCTTCTCTAGCCTCCAAGGAGCCTCAGAACTGGGATCCCCTAACTCATCTACCGAATGCCCCTCGGCTCAGGAAATTTTTTGGCCGTCGACGCCACCCTCGAGAGCCTCTTCGGCCTGAGGTGGGACAACATTAGAAACTTCTGGTTTAGGAGCCTTTGGCTCAACAGCCATCGGCTCAGTAAGGTCCGAAGCAGTCACGCTTCCTTTTCCCCCGTGTGCTAGCGGGGAGTCATCTTTCTCTTCGCCCCCAGCTCGGGGGCTCTTTGGTACTTCCGAAGTTAAGGCCGCTGAATTGACCTTGGGATTTTGAACTTTAGCCTTCTTCGGCTTCAGGGACTCAGCTGGTGATTTCTTCTTTCTCTTTTTCTCCTTAGAAGGCTTCGAGGTATCTAATTCCTAAGGCGGGGGTTCCCTGATCAAAACAGCCTTTCTAAGGCTAGTATAAGCACAAAGGATGAGAGTACTATCAAGAGATATCTTCTCCAAGGAGCTCGAGTATGATAGGAATAAAAACACACCATGGTTTTTGGCCTCCTAACAGGTTTTAGCCAGATCACGCCACACATGCTTCACATATAGGCAGGTCGAATCGAGTTGTCGGACCCAGCCTGGGAGAGCCTTGATAGCACCAGGGTACCACTCGACAGCTGCATCATCGAAGGGAGTTAATTCAAAGGCAAGAAAGATATCCGATTAGCAAAACATATTCACCTACGTTTCATATTCCATTGCTCAAGGAATGGCATTTTCTCAGTGGAGATCAGGTTCGAGGCCCTGACTCGGACAAAGCGGCTCATCTACCCTCGATCCTTGTCCTCGTCAATGCTAGCAAAAAAGGCCTTTGGGGATAGACATTTTACTTAATCGGGCCACCTCGATAAAGTCGGGGACTATACAATCTAATCAGATGATCAAGGGTAAAAGGCATCCCCTCGACCATGTTCGAGAAATACAATGCGCCAGAATAATGGATAGATTTGTCCAAGCATCACCCAATATTGTCTGCAGAAATCGAGGGTCACTGGGTCTATTGGTGGCGAAGATGCTTCTACCGAGCCTAAGGTGAAAGGATATGTGTATACACTATGAAAATCGGCTTTGTGTTTGGTTATGTCTTCTTCACGTGAAGGAATCTCTACTTGCACCGCCCCCTAACGGCAGTCAACCTTCACTTTCTCAGTTTCAGTTATTAGGCTGATGTATTAAGACATAGGTTTGCATTGTCCCGGAATAGAGGAAGGTTTTTCGACCTGGAAATCAGAAGATGTTTCACAAGACCCGAGAATACACTCCACAATACGAGGTGGTACTACCGTTTTGCTCTTAGACGAGCGTGATGACGAAGGGGCTTTCTCTTTTTGGGGAACAGTTTTAGAGGTTTTTTCCATTCTTGCTATAAAATCTCAGAAGGAGAGGAAGAAATCGGTTGAGAGATGAATACAAGGAAGAAGTGAGCGTATAAACACAGTTGCTAAAGATTTGAAGATGTTGTGAAAGGTAAAGGTTTAAAGAATGAAGGATTGAGGCATTTATAGGGATAAGTCATGCGTGTTGAAGAAGGTAAAAGAACGGCCAACCACCATTTTCGATTTAAAGCTTTTCGAGAAACGTATAGGTGTGACTTTTGCACGTCTTTTTTGTCATATCAATCACTGACCTCACGTGACTAGCATCATGATGGGGACATCGAAGAGTCAAAGAATTCAAATCGTTTCTTATCATTTCATTTTAAGAAATGCGGGAACTATCTGTGTGCGGTCGATATCGGGGGCCCCGATATCAAGGCCTCTATGGCATGTCAAGCCCAATCTCGAGGGGCTCGGAGTAAAAACTGAAGTTCGACCCCGAAATGCATACCTCGAGAAAGCATGTCGAAGGCTCATCGCGGCCTACCTCGAGGCAGTATAAAATCGATGACCGTCATGGAAAGACGGAAAAACTCCCAACGACACGTGGTTAGAGCTGATAAGGTCTGCAAAGATAGTACAAGCCCATACAAGTCTATTACACAGCTGTACCAATAGCATTTCTCTGTCATGATTAGACTTGTACTGTGTTGGGATTCACCCCTCCTATATAAAGGGGACCCAAATATTCTTGTAGGGGGACACAATATTTTTACCACAATAGAACATTTTCTGTTTTCTCACGCTCAATACTGTCTTTCAGCTTTATTATTTTTCATTCATTATTCTTCATTTATTGCTATTATCGGGCCTGAGGTCCTTGATTCCATTGAGTTCGAGACCCCGGTCCTTCATCAATATTGATTAGCATATCATATTCTCTTCACTTACACTTAGCATCTATTGCTAACAATTAGTATCGAAATAAATCACATATTTTTTGAACCACAAAATCAAATATAATTGCTAAAACCATTTTCAAGGTAAACAAAAATCACAACCATTTCTCATGATAGCTCAGCCAATAATGTAGCAGAAGCCATCGGTGTTATAGTTGGGTATAGAGACCATGTAAAAGATAAATAAGTAAAAAGCTTCTTTTCTGAAATATATATCTATAATTTATTATACAGATAATGGAGAACATAGTTTTTTAATAGTCACCACATAGTGGTCAATTGGGTACAGAAGAAAGTGTTGGAAATCCAAAAAACATGCACCCAGATTTGACACATACCAGATTAGAATTAACACTTACCTAAAGCTTGCTCCCTTCACATAATGCCTAACATTGAGAGAACACACCTTTTGTGCTTATCCAGCTCACATGTCCTTTTATTAGGTATTAGAAACCCATAGACCCGATTAATTCAGATTTGTATAGAGTAGGACTATATTGACTCAACTAATTCAGATTCTTGTTGGATAGGCCTATAGGGATAAAACGCGACCCATATATAATCAAGATATATCAAGAGGTTTTCTATTGCTATATCTCGAACTTGAGATATTTCGTTAAAGATGAACGGATTCCATACATCCCATCGCACTCATTAGTGGTGGTTAAATGTCATATACCTAGCATGGCATAGTTGTGCATGGTTGTAGTAGAGCTAGAAAAGTTAATCTTTTTGTCAATCTCCTTTTTCTGTTTTGTAGGCACTTGATTGCCTCAACCTCCAAGAGCTTTTATCAGCCATATTTTGTGCTGATGAGAATGTTGCGCCTATGAAATTTACTAGGCATGTTTTTGCAATCTTCAATTTTATTCCCTTTAGATTGGCAATCACTTAGTTCCATGAAATAACATGATAAATACTATAGTTAGTATACAAATGATGATAAAAGGTTAATGAATGTTCCTTGTTTAATAAATTTCACTTATGGAAGAATGCCTTGCAACATTAAGGACCGAAATTTTGAAAGGAGAACAGAGCTAAAGTAAAGTTACTTTTCCAGTATTCCATCCCTAGCACGTCAGTTAGCAATCAACATATTAACTGACCAAAAGAACTGAAAGACAAGACAGAACACCACCAGAGCAACATTTTATTAGTCACATATCGGGCATCAAAACCTTGACATGTACTGAACCTACGCTCTTTAATTAAGTGGGCGTTTGGACATAAGAATTGTAAAATTCCAAAAAAAAGTAAAAAAATTTTTTAAGTGAAAATGGTATTTGAAAATGAGAGTTGTGTTTGCATATGAATATAATTTTGGATTCTTTTTGAAGTTTTGTGAGTGATCTGAGTGAAAATTTTGAAAAATAGTTTTTTGGAATTTTTCAAAATTTCAAAAATTCCAAAATGCATCTTCAAGTGAAAATTGAAAATTTTATGACCAACGCTGATTTCGAAAAAAGTAAACAATTTCTTATGTCCAAACGGGCTCTAAGTCTTTTATCATGAAATGAAATGGAACGTCATAAATAGAACTTCAAAAAGGGTTTTCTTTTTGTAGACCATTAAGGTTAATTATACTTAAAATGTATCATAGCCGTCTTGAACATAAGGATGATTATTTCTCAGATAAATTTAAAACAAAAGTGCAGATAAAATTATTTCTGTAAAACAAACATGTATCCTTTTCTCAAAAAACTTGCTCACACTCAGTATTTACACCAATCTGCTGTAACTTGTCATGGTTAAATTATGGATTCAGGCGAGTATACATTACTTAACTTTGTTTAATTGTAAGAAGTATATGTCGGTTCTTTCTTGTCTTGACCAAAAAGCCCAGGCCTTTTCCGCAACATCGCTTCTTCTGTATAGAAACATTTTTAGGAGCAAACTACTAGCTAGAAAAATGTGCTTGTTGTGTAATACTTCACGAACTCCTTATGGATAATACATTAGTTTTTACACTAATAGGTAAAAAATTTCAAACTAATGAAAGCAAGCAACAACATATAATCCTAAAAATTTCTTGCACAAAACTTGAAAAATTAGACCATATAATGTCTTGTCAAAGAGCACCACATCTTTTCTCCCCAAACATGTAATTATCATACAATATCATTCAGTCTTAACAATCAACCACGCAAATCATTACAAACATTCTCACCTTCACTTATATAAACACTACTTAAATGGAACATCAAAAAAAGAAAAAAAAAGAAACAAGCCTTCCCTTGGTTCCTAAACAACCTTCACTCCTATAAGCCCAACCGCAAGGGCATCTTACATATTCCAAACATATAATAGCACATTGTCAGTGCAGAGAAGTTAAACTTACTTTTTTAAGTCGGGAAGGAACAGTCACAAGCAACTTCAGTTTCCACTTCCCGTCGATGAAAATTACGGTGGCAGCCACAGGCTGCACAAGTAAGGGCGCCGGGAGTTCCTTCCTCGTCACATGGCATGAACTCCCGACACCCATCAACCGCGTATCCGCCAACACTTGCTGCATGATTCTTTTGGCACTCTCTATATCTCACTGTCCTAATAGTAAATGATGAATTTGTTGAGTCGTCATCTGAAAAGTCATCCTTTTTCAAAATCACTTGACGTTTTGTCATCTCTTTAGTTTGGAAAGAGAGATGGCACATGTATGGCAGAAAATTCTCAGCTAGCTACAGCACGTCATAATATTATTCCATTGGAAAACCCTAACCCTAGAAGGCATATTTATATAGCAAGCTTAGTATTAGTACAAGCTTCTTTTTCGCTTTGGGTCGTGGCTTACTGTAGCAAGTAAGCGTTGACGCATTCATTACTCATTTCTTTTGTCTCTTCAATGATATTAGTATATATTTATTCGTGTCAGTTGGGGTCTCTCTCCTAAGGTAAATTCTAGAATAATCGGTCTGAATTGATTGCTCAACTTCCAATTACGTATCAAATTTGCTTTGCTTAAAAAGGATTGACCGCTCTATAATTTTTGAAAATTAAACTTAGCTCTAATAATGACTGATTTCTTATAGAGCGACATGATAAGCTTGCTTTTATGTAGACTAAATGAATGTGGCTTTTAGAAGTGATAGGCAGCCTGCTCAAATATAAAATTGGTAATCCAACCTTTTTTTTTATTCACAATATTGACATATTTTAGGGTTATTAATTAGCTTCACTTTGCATGAATCTGTAATTACCATTTAAATGAATTGATAATGTAAAAAAAATTCCCACTCAGATTTTAAACTCATTTGGTTATTAGGATTTACTTGCACGCGAGTAATGCTCAGAGTTGCCACAATAAAATAAGATGGTGACGATTTATCTCATTTTCAGGAGTCACATTTGGCCGCAGCTTATAATATTCATTCCACTACCATATGTGCATAAATGTAGTTGCAATCCCGATTGAGAAAGAGGTGGAATTTGCGGTCTTCATTAGCTTAGGGAAACTTTCATTCTTCTTTTATTGTTATATTTTCCACCAGCATAGAGTCTTTATGGTAATGGCAGGTACAAACTAGTGTGTATGTGTAAGACTAACTGTGCTACACAAGACCATGATATGTTTTTCTAAGATTAAGTAAACCAAGATATTTGGTCCATTTTAAATTCTATATATTTCCATTTGCAAAACAACAATTATTCAAACTTTGGTCTTTGTCAAAAGAATTCGAAAAGAAAACACTATTCAAAGATGCTGCCCAATATTTCCCACATTAACAAAAGTAATCATGGAACTATCTAATTTATATACATTGACAAAGAAAAGGAAAAATGCTACACTCAGTGCATGGTAATATGTTGTAAGATCGCTTATTTTATCTTTTAGCTAGCTGACCTACACTTACCATAGGTGATTTTATGCAATTATCTCTGAGTTGACCTAAAGTATAAAGTTCTTTACATTGTCAATATATAATGTTTTTTTGGTAGGAAAAGATGCTTGTATTAATTTTACTATATTACATTACAGGGAACGGATGAACTCGACGGTTCTCCATGACAAAAAGATGTTACAACAGGCGGATAAGGTTGTCCCAGAGTAGTAGTATTAGTTGATGCTGAATTTAAATCAAAAACGATTTGGCTGCTGGCCATCTGAGTTGTATAGAGCCGCAACTGTGTAGTGCCCATACAGTCATGCGTTAGATCATCCCGCAAAAAGAGAGGAGTCAAAAACATCGTAGTGTGGTTTCCATTGGTAGGGTGGATCCATGTTTTGCTAGTTTATCCGCCACTGAGTTTAGCTCCCTGTATGTATGCGAGATATGTGGACTACCCAGTTGTTGAAGTAGATACCTGCATTCATAAATAACGGATGAGTAATGAAGATTATGTTTGTGTAGTGTGTTAATTACCTCAGTAGAGCCCACTTTTATTTAGAGTGGCGTCAATATATAATGTTGAGTTCACTCGTTGGTTATTTGGGGACATGAAGATATCTTATATAATATTGGACAGTTCTTATGAGCTAGTTTTTGGGATTGAGCTAGGTCCAAGATCTATTTTTTTAATCGTGTATAAAAGCTAAACATGCAATTCAGCACTAAAAGTTTAGTACTCTTAGTTTCTTTCAAAAAAAAAAACTAAGCCTTAATAACCTCAAGGCAAACCCCAAAATAAGGTGTATAAAATTGTGAACCAACTATTTGTTTACCCGTAAAACGGCATATTTGAATTGTTGTGTGATTTATAGACAAGGAAGCTGATTTGATCCCAAAATGATAAATAAAATAAAATAAAATATAAGACTTGGAGTTGAAATCGGGAGAAATAGCAAGCAGACTGGTTCCGGGAGAAAGACTTCCGAAGACAATGATAAGAACAATGTTAGACCGAAAATAAAGTTATATTATTTAGCTTGAGAATAACACAGAGCATAAGGTTTGCCAGCGATTTCGTGTCCTACAGTGGTTGTTGAAGCCACTATTTATAGCTATACCTAGGGAACAAGATCCTAGGATCAAGCCCGTTTTAAATGACAATAAAGGGGGCTATTGATGAATATGTAACGTAGGCCATGAATACCAAAATTCTCTACAATGGATGCATATTTAATACTTAGGAATATTCTTCATTAAATACCATCCAGTGATAAACTTTCGTTTGCATTTGTTGACCACTTTCCCTTAGGATCTATCCGGTACCAACCGAAGGTGTTATCCTCGGTATTGGTTTCCAATCGATTTATCTTTTGTTTGCCTCTGGTTCCACATGTCACGCCATTATTCGAGCATTTAATATAAACTAATTTTACCCTATACACATAGCCCCCCTGCTTTCTGGTGATATATCTTTGTGTCATCGGGAAGTTGGTGAAGATTCCTTTCATGGCGGGAAATTTCCTGAACCCTTCTGGATAGTTTCTAACGCTTGACAAGACTCACACCTCCTTGCATTTAACACCCCGAACACGTGTTACCCCACAATTTAGCAATATTTTTTCCAATTCTCGAGGTAATCATGACCACGATTTTAGCCAACTATACCTTTACTTATATGCCTCATTCTTCTTCTTTCACTTCTAACAACTTCATAAACTTTCTTAACCTTTTTGAATTTAGCCTCCTTCTGTTTTCATCTCTCTCCGATCTCTTTCGAAAAGCTCTATCATCACATTATTATTATGGCTTCCCCTACTAAATTTTTCAAAAACTCTGGTTTTCTCTTCGGTGGAGGCCCGAAGAGGAGCAAAGATAAGTGTAACGACCCAGCTGGTCGTTTTGAGTATTTTAGCCTTGATCCCCTAACTTATGCTTCCTCTATGCTGCACAATAGATAAGATATTTCAATCTCAGATAGCATGGGGAACAGAGGAAGTACGTCTCTATGCCTACATTCCAATGTGCATGTGAATTCATAAATACCACAAAAATCGTGTAACATAAGGAAATGTATCTCTTTGCATGTATGTCAAGTATACATATCAAATGTAATGCATCACAACGATGAACTCATGTACTCATGCTCTTAGAGTACTCAATGTCATTGTCTCACATTCCCACTCATCAGGCTCAGTCACTCAGCACACTCAGTCTCTTAGCACTTTATGGTGCCTGCTGTAGTGTGCAATCCGATCCCAACAATAATAATAAAGCCTATAAGGCCTACTACGGCGTGCATCCCGATCCACATATAGTCATAAGGCCTGTTGCAGCGTGCAACCCGATCCATATATAGCCATAAGACCTATTGTGGCATGCAACCCGATTCACATATAGCCATAATGTTTGTTGCAATGTGCAACCCGATCAACATATCTCACTCATAATACGGCTCTCAGGCCCGAAGTCAGTCATCAATCTCTCTAGTGTCTAGGGCTCACAAATATCATGCCAATCAGCCCAAAAAATGATCACATGTTGATAACAAGTCGAATCCAATACCGAACAAGCCAAACAATACTATAGAAATACCATCCCACACGTACCGACCTTCGAACGGCTCGATACTAGCAAAATCAACTAAAGAACATCAAATAATGCCAAAGGAAATAAACTCAATCGATAAAGGTCGAATATTTAATCAAAAGCCTTGAGTCAACCAAAAAGTAAAACCCGAGCTTCAAACCTCGAAACCCGAGAAACTCACAAAATTTGACAATCCATTCAATTACGATTCCAACCATACTAGTTTCACTCAAATCGGACTCTCAATTGGTGTACAAATCTCAGAAATTCACTTTATCAAATCTTAGACAAAAACCCCAATTTTTCTCTTTGAAATCATCAACCCAATGCAAAAAACGAGGATAGATTCATGAAATATAATCAAAACTTAGTAGAGAACACTTTCCCCAATTCATATGGTGAAAATCGCTTCAAAAATCATCTCAATCCGAGCTCCATAGATCCAACTATGCAAAAATGGTTGAAACCTCCGAAATAGAGTACTTTATATTCACTGGACGAATTAATGAATCCCGATTGCGGAAATAACATTGTGATCGTGAAGAAGAATAATGCACTGCCCCAGAATTACTCTATGTGATCGTAGGAATAGCCTCGCGAACGCGATACACAAGGCTCACAAAACTACGCGATCGATGGAACAAAATCGCGAACGCGAAGATGAAACCACCCCCCTGTCCAGCTCAGCCCATACCACTGCATGAACGCGTCTAATGCAAACACGAATGCGATGAAGACCAGACCCATACCTACACGAACGCGTTCATCTTCACACGAACACTAAGAGCAGGTTCTCAGTAGACCAAAACACCTTTCGCGATCGTGAAGAACACCAGAAGCAACAAGTAACATCAGAAAACTACAATGTAAACCATTCAAAATGATCCGAACTACGTCTAAAACTCACCCGAGCCCCCTCAAGACCCCTTCCAGATAAACCAACTAGTCCCATAACATAACACGAACATACTCAATCCCTCAAATAACACATGAGAAAACCATGAATCTCACCTCAAATCGTACTTAATGAACTTTTGAACTTTCAACTTCCAAAACTTGTACCGAATCATATTAAATCAACTTAGAATGAACATAAATTTTGCGCACAAGTCCCAAATGACATAACTAAGCTATTCCAATTCCTGGAACCACAATCCAAATTCGATATCATCAACGTCAACTCTGGGTCAAACTTATGAACATTCCAAACCTTCAATTTCCAACTTTCGCCAATTAGCGTCGAAACCTTCTAGAAATATATAAAGGCACATCCGGGAATACACCCGAGTCAAAAATTGCCATTCGGACCTAACAGAACAATCAAAACTCCGATCTAGGGTGTAGTACACAAAAGTCAAACTTGGTCAACTCTTCCAACTTAAAGCTTCAAACATGAAATTCATT